GCAAGAACAGAAAACCAAACACCGCATGTTCTCACTCATAGGTGGGAACTGAACAATGAGATCACTTGGACTCGGGAAGGGGAACATCACACACATAGAGATTTCAATTGAACTGGTTGAAGATAAGATTCAGACATGCACATGTTTAAAGCACTCTGTAGCTGTTTCTAGTGTGAAGCCAGGGGTGACAGCCATTCATGAAAACCACTTCATCAGCCCCACATCCAGGAAAACCAAATCCTGTTTCAAGTGCTTGCTCTGAATTTCCTCTTCTAATGACCTTAATTGTTCTTTACATTCCTGTGCATTGTTAATACATGGGGGAAATTCCTTTCCTTTCCTTCTCACTATGTGCTGTGAGTTCTGTTTTTTCTCCCTGTCTCAGAGGAGAGATTTTAAAGCCAGGTTTTCTCCTTAACCTGTTCCTTCTCTGAGTCTATTCCTTGGGGAGCTAGAAGGAGCCAAACAGATGTGAGTTCAAATCCTAGCCCTACTACTTACTATCTCTGTAGCCTTGGTCAACACTGAACCCCTTTTTAAGGTCTCAGTCTTGTAATCTGTAAAATGGGCCTAAGGATGCCTGTGATGACTTATATTATAGCCTGGTAAAGGACATTCATTCAGCATATATTTGTCACCTCCCTTCTCCAGAGCTCCCTGGTCCTGTTTCTAGTAGCTCCATGGATGAATCCTTTTCTGATTTCCATCTTAGAGCATGCTCAGATATCATAGGAAGGTCTTCTTTTTTCTTTTTTGGGACAGAGTCTCACTCTATCACTCTGGCTGGAGTGCAATGGCATGATCTTGGCTCACTGCAACCTCTGCCTCTGGAGTTCAAGCGATTCTCCTGCCTCAGCCTCCCGAGTAGCTGAGATTACAGGCATGCACCATCAGGCCTAATTTTTTTTTTTTTTTTTTTTTTTGTATTTTTAGTAGAGACGGATTTCTTCATGTTGCTCAGCTGGTCTCAAACTCCTGACCTCAAATGATCCACCTGCCTCGGCCTCCTAAAGTGCTGAGATTACAGGCGTGAACCACCACATTTGGCCAGGAAGGATTCCTTACACATTCTCCTTTTCCAACATGGAATCCTCACCTTCCCAGCCGAATTGACTGTCAGAAGCTCCAAAGCATTAGAACAATTCACTTTGAGTGGAATCCCGTTTATTGGTAGAGGTCCTTCTACTCTTTAGTTATTCATAAACTTTATTTATTTATCTATTTCCACATAGTTTTGGCTCCTGGAAAACTCTGGGCAGGCAGAAAACCCTACAAACCATGTACTTTCTTTTATTATCAACTGTTCATCTTTTTTTCTCCCCTCACTGCCAAGCCCCTCAATGGAGATGGGATGGGAGATACTTGCTGATTGATTTCAGTATGAAATATGCTAATCCTGTTATAAACTAACACCAGAACCCAAAGCACTGACACAACCATGTGTCTAAGATGCCTGCAGTAACCATAATCAACACACTTCAGATTCACAAAACAAGCATTTTGGTGCCTAGCCTAGGGCCAGGTACTTACTAGGTGCTTAGCGAGTGTTTGTATCAGAAGTCTATCTTTGGGAATTCATGTTCCCTGATCTCTTAGGATTTCCAGATGGAATCATTCAAATAGTGACTGAGCCAAATTTATAATACCAAGGACACAGGATGTTCAAACTGACACAGGCTTTTCTAAATCTGAAGTCTTGTAAGACCCTACATACTGGTTACCCATGTTTCACACTGAATTTCTATACCCAGCTCAACCCTCATTATGTCCCATGACAACAGATTCCTTCTATTCCGTATTCCCTGTTTGCACAGCATATGCATCCCAACCACATTTGAATATACTCAGTATTACTGGGAAGGGATGAGGGTTGTTACCTAGGAGAGCAAGAGTCACGGCATCTTCGACAATGTAACTGTGGAAGCCTTCATATGCTATTTGGTGGCTCACTTCCCTTTCTGAGCCTCCTGGGAGGCTCAGATAGATATTAGATAGATGTTATTTATCATCTAACATATGCCATTTTATTGTATTCTTCTTCAGACATTTACAAAATCAACCAGGCCAGGAGTTGAAGACCAGCCTGGCCAATATGGCAAAACCCCATCTCTACTAAAAATACAAAAATTAGCCAGGCGTGGTGGTGGGCGCCTGTAATCCCAGCTACTCTGGAGGCTGAGGCATGAGAATCGCTTGAACCTGGGAGGTGGAGGTTGCAGTCAGCCGAGACAGTGCCACTGCGTTCCGGTCTGACACCCGGTCGCTCTCTGGGAAAATAGCAGAGGGATATTCTAACAGGAATTCCCTGATTTTCTCCAAGATTTCTGTGGGGCTCCTCTACACAGCAAATGTCTGCAGCGCATTTGGGATTAAATTTTCAGTGTGAAAATCATTTTACACTCTTTGAGTAACCCTCTGTTCATAAATCAGGAACTCCTGAAATGTTTGTTGAATGAATGAATGAGCTTGTTTTTGACAAGAATAAAAAGAATAGCTTGGTTATAAGGAAGCACCCTTATACCTCCTAGAAAACTCTGAAGCATCCCACATGGGGCACCTTCCCCAGTCCTAGATGTGGTTGATGTACCCCCTCCTGTTCTTCATCCTGTTTTTCTGACCATTGTGAGAGTTCTCAGGGCTTTCCCTGAGACGCAGACAGTCTTGTGAATCTGAAGGGCCAATGCAGAGCAGACTGAGGGATTGCTTGACTCAGTGTGTTAGCCAGGAATCCAGCATCTGCCTGAGCAAATAAAATGCAAATCCCATAATAAATGTTCTTTCAAGGGTTCTTTGTTAAAGCATAATGTGATCATGGTGTGAATGATGAAATGCATTTTATTAATGAACTCATTACCATCCAGGAGAGGAGTTGTTTAAAAAATGGTTTGCCGT